ATCTTGGTATACTTAAGGATGAAGGATGTTTTTAAATAACTGTAGTCAAATAAAAGTGGAGGTATGATGATGTCAATATAGTAAATATTTAAGATATTTCAATTAATATGAATTATATTTGATGACGGTGGAAGAGATGCGCAAAAGCTTTTTGCAACCAGCTGGTGTACTTTTTGCAATATATGTTTGTTTTGAAAATAAATAAATAATTTATTTATTTTTTTAAAAAAAGAATAACCTAGATTTAGTAGGTTGCTGTTACGTTCCACCTGGTCGTAACCGGCCAGAGGTTCTCCCGAACCCCAACTCCGCTCTCTTTGCAAAATATTATGCCAGGATTCAAAGTGGCCCCCTCTGGATCCCGAGGGGGTAAATTGGGCAGGTTTTGGCGTGTCCCCCCCCCCAAAAAAATGGTTCGGTCAATCCTTTTCGTTATAGTGTATAACCGTCCGGTCGAGGAGGCTTCCTTGGAATTCCTGCTGACCGACTACGACGTCATCTATGGACGCCGGAAACAGCTGGAGCTGGACATCCGAGGGGCGTTCCTACGATTCATGGCTTGTCTGTTGAAAGGCTACCGTGGATACCTCCGGCCCATCACCCAGGCTCCCTCGGAGAAAACCCGAGATTCGAGCAGTCTCTTTTTCCTGCAAGGTAGGAAAACTGAGCTCGTTTTTGGGGGGGGGGGGTTGACACGTTTTAGAGCAGGGGTCTCGAACACAAGGCCCGCCGACCGGATTCGGCCCGCGGAGTTCTGAAAGCTGGCGAACGACCAAACTTAAATAGCAAACGACACACACACACACCCGTGGTGCCTCGGGCAGCCAAAATGGGATGCGGAGGGAGGCCCCCACGCCGCCCGGTTTTGGCGGGCAAAGTGCTACGGGAGGCTGTCCAGGCCCAAAACGGGCCACGCGGCAGGAGGCATCCGTCCTGTCTCCCCCGACTCCAGCCGACCCCGGAGGAGAACTACGATGTTGATCCGGCCCTCCAAGAAATCCAGTTTGACACCCCTGTTTTAGAGCAAGCATCTTCCTTGGGGAGGAGATCACAATAAAGAGGCTTTTGTTAAACCGTGTTGTGGCCCGCCAGCAAAGTTGGCAGCAGAGTCGGACAGTGAGGAGGGTTGGGGAGGAAGATGGGCCAGTCCTGGAGTCTGGGGAAGGCTCGGACGAGGGCTCTGCGTCGGAGGCAGAGAGAGGGCCAGGGCCGTATGCCAGTTATCAGCTGCCTTCGGAGTCAGACATCAGTGAGGCAGAAGAACACCTGGAGCCTGTTCCCAGTGTGCGCATGCACAGAGTTGCCAGATAAAGGGAAGAGCTACGGAACAAGGGTCGGCTTGGGAGTATGGCCACAGGCGGACGGTGAATGGCCCCTCCCAGAGGACATAAAAGAGGAGCGAAAGGGGAGTGGGCTTTTTGCAGGAAACAATCCGTTTGTCCTGTCGTTAGATTCGTTTCCGGAGTGGGAAGATCTCTCTTCCCGTGAATTGCTCGCTCCCTCCCTCACAGGTTTCCTGAAGTCCCGCGAACGGGCCTACCACAAATTCTACGGACAGCTTTTACGGACGCAGCTCTTCACTCAGTTCATCGAGGAATGTTCTTTCGTCAGCGACCGCCACGCTTGCCTGGAGTTTTTCGATTCCTGCGTCGACAAGGTAGCTGGAAGGAGATCTGAATTTACCATTCGGTCGGGTTTTATTTTTAACGGCTTCTCTTAATCTAGTCTTTAGGGGGCTCGAAGTTCGATGCGCGCTGCAGAAAAAGAGACGAGAGATGACATTTAACCACGAAATTCTTCTCTCGCTGTCCTAAAAACTTGAACCTCGGTTGCAAGGCCTAGTAAAGAACCCATTGGTTGCTACTAAAAAGAAAGGAAAAGCAATTGGGGCTAATTCTCGACAATGGAGCCCCCGAATTTCCGTTGCTAAGCGAGACATAAGTGTGCTTTGCCCCATTTTGCAATCTTCCTAGCCACAGTTTTAAGGGAATTGTTACAGTTGTTAAATTGGGAGGGCTGCGGTGGCCTAGAGGTGGAGTTCTTGCCTCACAATCAGGAGGCTGTGAGTTCAATCCTAGGTAGAGGCAGATATTTCTCTCTCCGGGCACAATGGGAATATATCGGCTGGACAAAACTCCTCATTGGTGACAGGAAAGGCATCTGGCCACTCTGCTAACTCCATTCAGTTGCTCAGACTCCACCTCGCAAAGGGTCGTTAAATGACAATGATGATTACAGTTGTTAAATTAATAACAACATGGTTAAGTAGACACGTCCACCACATATGATAATATGTTCCTGGTAATTGGTGGCATTTCCAACACTTCCAACTATTTAGACATGTTTTTGAGGCGGCGCAGAAGGCGCGCACACAAGCAAAGCACATGCACGAAAGGCCAGGCACATGTGCCCGAAGAGAAGCGCGTGGTTGCGCGCGGGACGAACCATTGGTAGCAAAATGTGAAAGCCACCGCTGCTCTCCATCCTGCGTGAGCAGGCGAAGATCTTGAGATGGTTGCCGTCACGGGACGGTTTCCTTAAATTCCAATTTTCCGTCGTCCTTTTGTTGATCTGAAGGTCCAAGTGGACTTGGAGAAACCCGAGGAAGCTCCTTTGATTGAACTCGATGACACCCAGGGCAGCGAGCACACCGTTTTTATTATGCCCCCCGAGGAACCCACCGGGCCCAACGGAATGGAGCTAGTGCCATCGTACAAGTGAGTGTGTCCCAACTGGGAAGATGCGGATAGTCCACACGGGGGTGGGATTCAAAAATGAGAGCCGCCGGTTTTCTGCCCAGTTGCTGGGTGGGTGTGGCCATGGTGGGTGTGGCCTACTCGTCCTCCTGCATCATTGCAAAGCGGGGGGGGGGAGTTTTCGCGCTCCCGAGGCTCCGGAGGTTTTCTTCCAGCCTCCGGGAGGACGAAAACGGCCTCTCCCGTGCTCTGGAAGCCCTCCGGAGGCGGGAAGCAGGCCCGTTTCCAGATTTCTGGAGCTTCCGGGAGGCCAGTTTTTCATCCTCCCCAGAGCCTCTGCCGAGTTTAGTTTAGTTTAATGAAATTTGTACGCCGCGCACTCCCGTTGGGACTCTGGGCGGCTCACACAGGCAAGATAAAAGGATTTTTTAAAAATTTTAAAATAAGAAATACAATATTAAAATGAACACAACATCCATTCTGTCCAAGAGGGGCTGGATCTTAATCAACAGGCCCCAGGCCTGCCGGAACAGCCCGGTCTTGGTGGCTTTACGGAAGGCCGGGAGAGTGGTGAGGGTCCGGATCTCTACGGGTAGTTCGTTCCAAGGCTCTGTACTTATTCAGAACGGGCCGCGTGGCGACTCCGGGGAGAGGAGTGGTAGGCTTGCAACTACCGGTTTGGCAAACCAGGTGTCAAATTAGCATCCAGTTGGCCCAAACCAATCCGGACCAGCTGAATCCCACCTCTTGAGCCCGTTTAGTGACCGTTCCTGCCACTGAACAAATCCCCAAACAATGAATCTATGTGAATGTCTTGAGTAAAAACTTGTTTTGTTTTTTTCTCCTTCTTCCTTGAAATTCTGCTTGGATGCCCCTATAAATCTTTCTAAGTCAATCGAGGCAAAAATTTGCATTAGTCCTAAAACGCCATTAGGCTTAAAACGAATCTCCCTGCATCGCTCTAACTACCCACAGCTCTCCGTTGTTGTTGTTTTTTTTGGTTTTTAGATACGATAGCTTCCCGATGCTCCAGACCAAGCTTTTTCAGCGGGACCAACTTATGCCCTCCCTGTGCCAAGCCCGAACCAGTGCCCCCAGCAGCCCTGCTCCTCGCCGCACCCAGCAGGTAAATATTGCCAGGTCTCTGTTACATTTTGCAATCCAATTTCCCATCTTGGGATTTCCTGGTGGTCTCCCGTCCACATACGGGTCAGTCCTAGCCCTCCTGAGCTCCTCTCGTCCCAGTCGAGGTTGTTTGGTTTTTTTTAAAATATATTTTTACATTAATACAGTGCTTAATAAACATCGTATTGTCTGGGTCAATAATAATAATTAGCAACAACAACAAAGCATCTATATACATTATTCATTAAATAATTGTGACACATTTTTAAATGTTCAGTTGACTTGAGTTTTGTGTGTAATGAATAAAATAAATAATAATAATAATAGGAGTGTTATTTCTTTATACATAGTGATAAATTTATCATCCTTTTACTTGTACATAGTAGTGATTTTTCCTGTTCTAATTTCTCCCTCTATTGCCCAACCATTGATAACAAACCCCACATTAAAAATATTCTGTATCTTCCTTTTCCTTTATCTTCAGTGTCAACTGATCTATTTCTCCACATTCTAATATTTTCTTTAATTACATTTTCATCTGTAGGAGTTTCCTCATTTTTGCAATACTATGCTCACTGCTGTAATATATAATATATAATATATAATATATAATATAAATATATAATATAAATATATAATATAAATATATAATATAA